AGCGCCGTTCATCTGGTCAGACGCGGTCAGCACTCTCTCTTCCAAAATTGCGTCTTGCGCGGCAAACGACCAATCACAGCGGTTGACGTTTTCTTCTGGGTGAGAACATGGCGTTGAGAAGGAATTAGTGCAAGTTGGGAACCCCCGGATTACTGGCCATCCGGCTGGGTGTTTCGGCGGTGCGACTATGTAAATGGCACTTTTCGGGGACTGCGGGTATCGGTGCTGCTGACAATTACAGGCTAATACACGCAAAGCTGGAGAAGCATGGCTGATTCCTCAAGTGTGTACCGGAAGGACGTGATGCGGTGGAAGAGGATCATTCCGTTGGGCTGTACAACAGACTTAGGATATTGGCGAAAATGACCATAGCAAAGCACAGGTGAGATGCTGCATATAAGTGAACAAGAAGTCCTCGAGATGAAGCTTCTCTGCTCTCATCATCACACAGCAAACACAACATCCAATCCAATATCCCAACTTTTCCTTTCATCTTTCCTATCTCATTTCCTTATTTCCTTGAGTCTCTATCAGAAACCTCAAACCAACCAAACCAGACCCACAAACATGTTCTCCATCAAGACCCTCACCACCATCCTCCTGGCCTCCGCCGCCGCCGTCTCCGCCGCGCCCACCACCACCACCGGCAGCACCAAAGCCACCCGCACCACCCACCTCACCGGCGTAACCCACTCCGTCGTCGCCGGCCTCGGCGGCCTCCGCTTCGACCCGGACAACGTCGTGGCGGAAATCGGCGACGTCGTCGAGTGGCACTTCCTCCCGCGCAACCACACCGTCGCGCAGTCCAGCTTCGGCAACCCGTGCCAGCCGCTCGCCGACGGCAGCGGCTTCTTCCCGGGCTTCGAGTTCTTCACGCCCGAGGGCCAGGCCGCGGACGTGTTCCAGATCGTCGTCGAGGACAAGAAGCCCATCTGGTACTACTGCGCGCAGCCCGCCATGACGCACTGCAACGCGGGCATGGTCGGCGTGGTGAACCAGAACTTTGACAACCAGGACTTCTCGCTGGCGAAGCACAGGGAGCTCGCGGCCAAGGCGACGCTGGTGATTCCGCCGGTTAAGCATGTTGGCAAGGTTATCCCTAACCCCAACCCCCTTGGCGGCTTCTAAGCGCTCAGGTGATGGGGCACTCCAAGAGAGGGGTTTTCATGCTTCGCGGTGGTGATATATGCATGGCGAGGGATAGGGTTGCATTGCATTTGGTGGTATTGCGTCTTGGTCTGTGGGATTCATGTCTTACTTTGCTCTTTTACTTTGGATCTTGTTTGGGTAGATGATCACTCACTTCTGGTATATAGTAAATCAACTGTTAGTTCGCAATTCTATGACCATGTGACGCAAAATTAAATGTCTTTCCTAATGTATTGCGTGAAAAATAGTCAAGCGCAACAACACAAAATACTCGCTTCCTACTGGCTGAGGCTCAGTGATCCTATATCAGGTGAGAAGACAGCCGTGACGAAGGGCACTTTTGCTGTCATCGAGTCTCTAGACAGCAGAATGGCCTCAGTATGCTGAGCTTCAGCTCTCTTCCTTTCTGACGTGAGCCTGAAACGTCTCAACCTCTTAGCGAACCGCTCATAATCTCCTACTTCGATGAGGTTAACGGCATCGATGTTCAGCTTATCCGGGGAAGCCTCGTCAAGCTCTTCGCCTGTCACAGCCCCAACACATTAGCCAATTGAGCAAATATTATAGCGCAACAAGTCTCGGCAGTGCAGGTTGTCTTGTGGACTTACTAGAGAATATGCCCGCCAGTGCGGCAAAAAAGCCATCTGTCACTGAGTTTATCGGTGTGCAAGCCAGTATCATCAAGGCGAAGGGGAGAGCCCAGGCATCCCCAAAGCACGCTTGGCCCATCGTGACGGCTCTACGCACTGCTGCTTGTTCGCTGGGTTGATAGGAACACGGCGGCCCTATCGCGGCGAACGAGGTTCGACGTATTTGGACCACCCGGCTCGCCAAGCTGCACCAATGCTTCTTGTCTTCAAAATATGGACAGAAATGGAACAGGCCCAGATCAACGAGCTTTTGCAAGGACGTTTGGCTACGTTTCCCTTCGACCGACAACAACCCTTGGGTAAGATATTCTCCGAAGTAGAAGGAGCATTTCTCTTTCTTGACCCTCATCTCGAAGAAGGCTTCATGTTCCTCCGTCCAGGTTTGCTCATCCCGAAAGAAATCCATAGCTACCGTGTCTTGGATGAAGGTGCCTTTAGGAAACTTGGACGTGTCAATCATGAGGATGAAGGTATTGGACAAGTCGTTGAAGTCTCTGGCCAGAGGGTGTTTAGTGTGTTTGTAGAGCCCCAGCTGGATTGCGAAAAGCAGTGAGCTGGTCCATGATACCAGGTTACTGCGGTGGCGGGTTTTCTTCCAATTAAGATGATTGTAGAGGTCAGAGGGTCCGAAGTTGTCAGGTCTCATAAGAAGGTTGTTCATGCCCCAGTTCCAAGTTGCCTGTGCGTGGGCTGACCATACCTCGTGCGTTGATGTAGCCCCCTGCGAGTTGGCATCGTAAACGCGGAACAGATAGCGGGGGATCCTATTGAAGGCATCTTCCAGTTTGCTTGCCTGGTGGTCTTGGCGGTGGTCGTGACCATTGAGATGGCGGAACTCGAACGGTGTCGGGTTGCCAGGGTAGACTTCCATGATTGCTAGCCTGCGACGTGTTCATCCGAGGCGGATGCTGATGCGAAGCCCCACTCCGTCACGAGAATACATGCAATAGATTTTTGGATGAGATTCGGCGACGAGAAAAAGGTTTAGCCGACATTTTATGGATTGGTCTCAGAATGCGTGCTTTTTGCAACTAATTCAGGTAAGAGCGAGGAGACGGCGTTTATCGGCGCTTTGCAGACCGAGCAGAAGAATGAACACATATTGGATCTATCAGATTTCGAAATCAAAAATCGTTAAGATTTAAGGTCTGTTAAGTCAGTGCAAGTAAAAGCGATTGTTGCCAGTTATGCCAAAAAGTAACAACTTAGTAGATGAAATCGTCTTCAAGGCAATTGAGCCTTGCTGTGAGATACATATCCAGCGCGAAGAGCTCTTTCTCATTCATTGTGCCCTCTTTACCCACCCCTACCACGTGGTCAGATGTCCTTTGTTTGTAATTTTCTATAATCTTGCTTTCGAAATAGTGGTTCTTCAGAAACTGCGACTGATCATGGAATCGTTTGACTTCGAAGGGTTGGCCATCCAGCATCCAGGAATCATCATGAATTGCGACTACAATATCTGTTACAGGTCAATAAGAAGTTTCTGATAAATACGCAACCGGAATTGAGAATACGACGACATATATGAAGGAACTTGTGATTGACATACCCGGATAAAATCTGAGAAACAGGTCCTTGGCGTCGTCCTCAAGACCAGAGAATCGTGAGACGGCCAGTAACATGACGGAAAATGCGGGGGCGAGAGTAGCACAGCAATTCACAGAAGAACTCAAGCAGCTTTCTGCAATTGCCAGGAACGTACGTACTTGGGCAGGCGACGCGTGTTCCCCTTTCGATTCCTCGACCAACTTTTTGATGCTCACGACCCGCTTCGCCAAGATGGACCAGTCTGCCACTCTCGCAAAGTAAGGACAAACGTCTGATCCGCGAAAGTTGGATTGTAGAAGCTGGTCGTGCCTAATCGTACCACAAGCTCCGGTGACGTTGATACAGCCTTGACTAAGGTATTCGCCAAAAGAGTAGCCATCCTCGCTAGTCCACAGCCTATATAGCTGTTTAATCGGAAAACTGCGATTTTCCAAACACGACAGAACCTCCAGGTCTCGGATGAAGGTGCCTTCCGGAAACCGAGAGGTATCAATCATCAGTATGCGAACCTGTGATGTGGAGTCGCTGACGCTTCCGTCTGCATCGCGGTAGTGTTTGTACAAGGCATACTGTATGGCGAACAATACAGAGCTTGTCCAAGAGACAAGGTTCGTTTTCGTATGGTGCGAGGACTTCCAACGTAGGTGGCGATTCAAATTGTCTGCAGCCTCTTTCGCGGGCTGGTCCAGGAGATTGCGGTGACAGCTTGGGCTGCCCGACTTCGCAAGCGGGGAAGAAACGTAGATCTCGGTGGTGCTGCCCAAAGAGTGGCCATCGTAAACACGGAAGAGATACCGCGTGGAGTTTTCAAATGAGCGCGTAACCTTTTTTTTTCCAAGTCTCGTGACCAGCCTCAGGAATGAACGTGAGGGCTTCCCCTATGGCAGGTCGCCATGGCGGCATGATGGCGTGAATAAGTTGATAGTCAAAAGTTTGAGGTGGAAGAGGATGGGCTGAGAGATGTAGAGTTGTTGATTTCCTACACACAGTAAAATAGTATGAGGGAGGGAAAGCCTGACGGTTCAAGGTACGACGCGGTTGGGTGTGCCTTATTTGCTCTCGAATCTGCGGAAGAAGAAATGTTGAAAAGGGTGGGAAAACTGGCGGGCGGCCCTTGTTTGTCGCTGCGTTCGGCGGGCGGGGAGAATGATGGCGAACACTATCGAAACAAAAATGCCGAAGTGATCAATGCTCCAGCCTGAAACTCACAAGATGTAGAAGGGGTTGTGCTTTGGATGAAAGCTGGAGGGAATTTGGGGCCAGAAACTTACAAGCCGCCTTTACATCGAAGTCATGTACGAAACGGCAAGGACGCGCATGCCGCAGGGTTATCCTTGGTCATCTGGGCTTTAATTACTCGCTCCCAGCAGTTCTAGCTCCAAGTCCAACGTCTCTCATCTGCATCGACGCCTAGGTGAGTAGTTAGATAGCTTACTGCCGATCTTCTATTCAATCAAGTAGCATCTCATTCATGTAAGAATTATTACTATTAGTATTATTCGCTCTCGACCACTACTTCACCCATACCGCTCTCTTCACTCACTAAATTTCGCAATCACAATTGAGGAATTATGGCCATAATCATAAGGCCAAATTAATATGATGAACTTCGCGCTATGGCATTACGGAGTGGCAATAGTCGGAATTTGGCTAGTATGCGCCTTCTCTCTCCTGCCACTTCGGCTGAGGCGCCGGTTCAATCTTTCCAAAGCTCGTAGCACTAACCATACCCACCTCCCACTTCAGTCCCTCAACCTTGGCGCCGTCCTTCTCATGGGCCCAAAGTGTGACGCCGAGGTGGTTGGATCCCTGATAGTTGAGAATACCTTCGGGAACAGGGAAGCGCGTCTGAGGACCAACATGATGCACGAACTTGCCAAACTGGTATCCGTTGACGAAGAGCTGGGCGCGGTAAGCGGTTGTGGTAGTGTTGGCAAAAGTTAGGGAGATCGGAATATCGTATCCAGTAGGAAGGTCAAGGTCAAAGGAAGCCGAGTAGTACGCAACGCCAGCCTTGGAAATGCCCTCAGTGGGACCCTTGCTGTCCTCCCAAGAGCTTGAAGGGGGCTCAGGCCAGTGGTATCCTTGACGCTCAACGAAAAGTCCACCCTCGTTGAGAGGACCACGCTCTCTGTCAGCATAGTCTTCGCCACCAAGATTGCCGGTGATCTTCCACTTGATGTCAGACTGCTCGTGGCCGGCGAGGTTGTAGTTGAGAATTCCGCGGGGGTTCTTCTGTTGCTCCTCATTGATGACCCAGTTGCCGTTCAAACCCATGTGATCAACAACAACGGTGAAGACGTAATCCTTGTCCTTGGTGAGTTTAGGCAATGTGAAGGTGCTGTTGTAGCCGCCAGTGACAGCATTGCCGGGCCAGGAGCCGACGAACTCGTCGTTCAGCCACACCGAAGCGCCATAGGCGTTTCCACCTTGAGTAGTGAGGTTGAAGACGCTCTCTTCGCCATTGGCAGTGAAGTGCCCTCGGTACAGCAACGAACCAGTATGGTACCCGTAGTCGCCACCGTACAGACTGACTGGAGTCTTGAGCGGGTTCGCCGTGTTGTAGGTTTCCTTCAAGTCGGCGTTGGTCCAAAGCTCGTCAGAGTAGTCGGATTTGATCTCTGGAAGCGAGTCAATGTACTTCCAACCCAGTTGGCTGATGCAAGGAAGCTTGATCTCGGGGACTTTGAAGTCAACGCTGGCAGTAACAACGCCTCGGTCGTTTTGCTTGAAGTCGAGTGCCTTGCCGTTGAAGTTCAAAGTCTTGAGAGAGGACGGGGCGCCGCCGATAACCTCGATGGGGGTGGTGGCGTTGACGTCTCCAAAGACACTGAGCGTGTCGCCGTCGACTGCAACAGACCGGACGAGGTAGCCGGCCTTCAGAATTACGTCTGAAGTGGCGTAGTTGCCCTCGGTAGGGGGAACCCAGAAATTGTAGGCCTCGTTGCGGGCTGAAAGTCAGTTAGTAAAGCTTACTCGGAGTGTGGGGCTTGAGGAGTCTCACTCAAGAGGTACACGTAAAGGTCCTTGTGGACACGAACAACCTTGCGCTCGTCGGAGACGGCCCAACCAAGAACAGTGTAGCCGTCCTTCTGCTCAATGGTCACATCCGAGCCCTCGATCACATCATCGTCGGTAACATCGCCCTGGTCACCCTCGACGGCCAATTCATGGTGCTCATCAGCGCCACCGTAGACAACCAAAATTGTCTTATCATCGTACTTCTTCCTGCACTGTCGTTAGACACGAAAGTTATGATGACCGTGGCAATTCTGCAACCTACCAGGTGAAGACCTCGGCAGACGAGTACACGAGATTCTTGTCCCCAACAGGGTAGTCGCTGACATGAATCTTGGAGTCTCTCCTGGTCAGGTAAAGACTGTCGCTGAGCTGAGGAATCTCGAGCTGGCCGTACTTGACGGTGTCGACCTTCAGCTTGTACGCCACCGTCTCAGGCGTGTCGTATTGAGTATGTCTGCAGCGTGTCAGGCCAAATTCACTGTCAGGTAGAACCCCTTGACAGACCTAGCAATATAGAACTTGGTCGTGTTGGTAGTCGCAGGCGTGACGGTAATGGCATCGTTATTCGTAAACTCGAGGGAGGAATTGAAACGGTCGGCCTCAAGATAGGCGGGGGAAACGTGGAAGAAGTTGGCTTGAAGTTTCGACTCGCTGTACTTCTCGCGAGTGAGGAGACGCTCCTCTGTGATCTGCGCGCCGTAGTCGTAAGAGGTGTAGCCATCGGAGTGGCCGAGGTTGCCCCAGTTGGTACCGCCCCAGGTCTACAACCAGTCAGCTCTGCAACTAAGGTGTTGAAGATACTAGAAAATAACGTACCATGTAGATGTTCATGATGGTGACTCCGACAGCATAGTTATTCTTGTAGAGAACTCGTTCGAACTCGTGGTTCAGCAGACCAGCGCATGATTCGAAACCGGCACCGCCCCAGGGCTGGAAACCACCGCCTTGGAACTGCTTACTGTTAGTGCTTGACCTTTGGTCGCAGAGAATAATCATGTCATACTTCGACAATAGTGTAAGGGCTATCAGGAGCAATCTTGTTGTTCGTCGCGAGCCAGTCTGTGGGCAGGCCGTTCTCAGGCCACACAGTTGGGTTCCAGCAGTCGAAGCCAAGGGGGTAGGCATCGTGACCGTAGATATCGACCTTGGCGGGAGTCGAGGTCGTGATAGCACCAAGCTGCCAGGCCTCGTTGTTGACGTACGGTACCACAACACCGGCTGTTTTGAACTGGTTCTCAACATAATTCCAGTAGTCGTAGTCCGGGAAGGGGTAAGGCTCAATTGCTGCGTTGTACTCGTTCTCCATCTGGAATAGGCTGACTGGGCCTCCGTTCGTGATCTGGGCACCGGCAATAATCTTGCCAATCGCGGCGGTGTAGCTGATATCGTCAGCTATCTAGGTCGACTCCTCTTTGTTAGTAGACTTACTTGTCGGTAGCCTTAAGGTAGGCCTCGTCGGCTGATCGAAGGACTCCTTGGACTCTTTGCAGCCATCCTGGAAAGCCACCTCCGGACACCTCGGCATTGATATATGGTCCCGGTCGCTATACTGGAGTTAGAAGAATATATCTCGAAGAGAAAGAGGACAATCTTACGGCGAACAGGTACAGACCAGCCTTCTGAGCGGCCTCGAAGAGAGGCTCCAAGGCGAAGATACCCTCAGCACGGACTTCACCTGGCTTTGCTTCCAGCAGTCCCCAGTTGACGTAGAACGAGATGGAGTTGTAGCCGGCCGCTTTAATCTTCTGGAGGATGTCGAACCAAAGGTGTGGAACTGGCATTCTTCACAAGGAATCAGTAACCGAGCTGGAACTCAATTGAAGAAGGAACTGTACCTAAAGGCATGGAACTCGGCGCTGAAGATCATCAGTCTCTCACCATTGATGAAAAGACTTTTGTCGTCCCATGTCACCTACACCAAAAGTCAGCCCCAGTTTGCCAATTGGGTAGTTTGAGGCTTCGGCAAGTGCCAATGGCACTCACTAGCCGTGGCTTAACTCACAACATCCTGCTGCCTCCCATTGAGGAGGTGCATGTCTCGCGCCACGGCCCTACCACTGACTCCATTGAGCCAGCCCAGGGCCAAAAGCGAAAGGATCTTGACACGTGAGAGCAACATTGTCAATCAATGCAGCAGTCTACACTGATCGCAGCTGGACACTGACGAGTGGGTGAAGGAGACACTGCACTTTTCACAAAGGAGCAGCTTTGTTTATTATTACACGGAAATGCGCACATCCGCCTTCTCCACGCGAAGATCGGAATGTCACCATCCCCAACCTTATCCTGATGTAGCGGCGGAGGCGGCGGAATTGGAAGCTCATTAGTGGCCGGCAGATGTCAGGGACAGCCCTTCTCACACTCACAACCAGTCGACTGAGCTGGTGCAGACGCAGCTGTTCGCCCACTTCCCCTCTTTTACTCCAACTCTGCAAGTCCAAAGTCCGCAGAGGGCGACGAACATGACATGGCATGCATGTCGTACATCATGGAATCATGGAGGACGGGAGCCGGGCTGGCACTGCGAACCAAGCAAGAAACAAACACATTCGGTATGCCCCGGAGCTTTCACCGCATCCCCCAACCACAACCCCTGTCTTCCCCCGCTCATTGCCCCGCGTTTGTCGGTTAGCCATTGCTTGGAGGGTGTTCGTCCCTTGTCTTTCAAGGCGGTTTTTACGCGATTGAGGCAAGGTGCTCCCTGCAGGGAGTCGCGCCACCTACAACGGCCCGCATGCCCGGGGCGTTCAGGAACACGTTGGAACTTCCGTCCATACAGAGCCCTGGAAGCAACTTAAGCAGAATAATCAAGACGGAAAAATTCCAGAGCTTCCCAACCTTGTGGTTTCACTGATTCCCAGGGGCGGATCTGTTTAAAAACGCTCTATTCGCGTATGTGGAATTTCCCCTCTGCTCGGGGAAGTTGCCAAGCATGGCCAACCGAAGGGCGGCTGGTCACATGCAGGTTGGATTCGGGCACGCATTGAAAGACCCCGAGCATGATGCTCCAGTGACATTACGTCAGGGACTCCGACACGCGCTCTTCCTTGGCGAGACAGTGGGCAAATCAGCGGACTCAATTGAGTGCAGGCCCTGAGAAGCACATGCGTTGCATTTTGGGTGCATTTGTTACTGACATTTCATTACGGCGTAGTCTGTGTGCGTGTACGTCCCGCAACCGCGCGAGACGATTTCTCTGGGTGCGAAATTCTGGCGTTCAAAGACATCAAACATTATATACATGAATCTTTCTGCAGTCGTTTATGCCTGCTTGAGTCCCAGCAACTCAGTCAACTTCAACATGCTGACCGTGACCTTGTTCGTCGTGCTGGGAGGCAGAACACCGGCGCCCATAATAAGCAAATAGTCGGGGTCCTCCTCCATGATGCGGAGGTTGCGGGTGTAGGCGCCGGCTTCAGGAGAGTCGTACGCAACCCAGGCGTTCGGGTCACCACCGCGACGGTTGATGAAGAGAGGCGCGCTGTTGCTGCTGACGACAATGGTGCCGTTGCAGCCACCGACAGGGGACCAGACAACGTTGGGGCTGTTGATGGGGAACACGCCGCCGTTGGTGCTGTTGATGTAGTAGTCGGGCGCGTCGGCGAACTTGCGAGGGTCCTTTGCGATGCGGTAGTAGATGGGGAACGAGTAGGGTTCGATGATGGGCGCGCCACCCCATTCGAACGTGTACATGTAGTCGCCGTTGCCGAGCTGGGTGACGAAGGGCATGCCGGGGCGGTCGGTGTAGGTCGGGTAGGAGACGTCCTTGACGACCTCGGACCAGTTCTTGAGGTCCTTGGTGGTCTGGTGGGAGATCTCCTGGCCGTGCTCGGCGGAGCGCTGGTCGGCGTAGTAGAGAATCAGGTCATCCTCGAAGATGCTGCGACAGATGTCAGTCATTGCGACAATATGGATGCCTCGTTGCCGTAGACTTACAGAATAAAGGGCTCCCAGACGGGGGTCTCCTCGTTGTTGGGGATGGCCCGGCCGCCAGCAGCGACGTGGGACAAGAACTCCCAAGTACGACCCTTGTCCGTGGACGCGTAGAGGTCGATTTGCGTCTGGCTCAGATCCGTAGGAATGCTGTTACCAGCAAGAAGAACAGTTCCGACGGGGTACCCGCCGAACTCTTCACGAAGCTCATATAGGAAGGGCTGGTAGCGCAGACCCCAGTTGTTGACCTCATCGTGAACTTGGCCAACCTCCTCCCATGTGACGCCACCATCGAGAGACTCGTAAATGGGGAACCAAACCAGAGGAGGCTCGGGGGAGTAGTTCTCCCAAGTGCCCAGCAGGCGGCCGTCCAACAGTTGGACAGTGCGGGGATACAGGACCCGGGGGTCTGTGTAGTTCTCAGGCGGCTGGAAAATGAGATTCCGCTCGAAGGTCTCGAGGGCAGAAGCGATGCCGCAGGTGAGGGCGCCGACGGTGGCGAAGAGGGCAGACCGGAGCATCATGGCTGCGACTCGACGATCTCTGCGGGAAGCGACGCGTCTGAGAAACGAGGTGCGGAAGGAGGGCAGATCGTTCCCCAGACCGATGCGATGGGACCTTTTATATGGGTGACATCAAGAGCATCACATACAGTACTGGACCCATGGCAACGGTACCAGAGACGCAGTTGCACCGGGGATCGTGACCGCAGACGAATACACGATGCGACATGGCCCGAGCTGTAAGCTGCCTCTCGGTAACCTCGGCTATGTGGCGAGATCCATAATCTTGTTGCTCCCCCAGACTGGAGAAGCCTGGAGACGGTCAATGATTGCTGCAAGGTATGGGCAGCTTAAATGAGGAGAAATTCTGGAGACGCCAGCGAGAAATTATGTTGGCGTTGCTAAGAAGCGCAAGTGACTGGGGTCATCGCTGCGAAGTCGCATCGTATGCGCTCCAAACAAACAGCTGTCAGTCCAGATGAAGATCAGAAAACGCGGCAAAACAACGCAAGTTATGCCGAGCCTGCAGGAAACAGATTGGAGTTGTGAGAGCCGGGCCAATGTTCTCTCGAGCTATGCCACGATGAGCTGCTCATTTCGGTGTACCCCAAGAGTTGAATGTGGGGTTTGTGCGGGGGAATGGAGTCAAGTACCGAAGAGCGGTGGCTGGACTGAGATGCGCACCAATCATATGTGGAAATGGTGAAAGTGGTGTGAGCTTGGCATCCCTGTCCTGGTGCAGCTTTGTCGAAGCTTGTCGCTGATGTCGTCGTCTTCGAAGTAGGACAAGGCGACTGATGACGTCCACCTCTGACTGAAGTCAGGCCATCCTCTTCAAGCTTCAAAACACTTGCGCCCAACGTACTAGATGGAGTTGGTGGATGGAATGATTCCAAGCAGAGGCTTCAATTATTAGGTATCTAAAATACAGATAAGCCACAAGGATGGGATGAGAATAGAACAAATGCGACTACATAGGATGACAGAAATATTATATACCTTAAGCCTATCAGACATGAATGGGGTAATAAGATAGAAGTAAGTTTGTTGTCCAAGGTACTATGAGTATCATAGTCCATTAATTGCATAAGTTACACTACCAGCTATGGAATGCCAGTCGTAGCTGTTGGGGCGGCGTTGAAGCTGACAGGTTAAATTATATCGGTTGGCATAGGCGGTTTCTACACACCGTAGAGAATCGCGAGTCGAAAGCAAAAAAATTGCAAGGAGAGTCATCAGTGAGCCAAACATCTGAAAACAATTACGATAGGTAATATGTGAGATCTATCCAGTCAATGCAAAAGGGTGATATATATGTTCTTCGTCCCAACTGCAAACTCGGAATGTTTGAGACCTTTTTCATCTTCGGCTATGATATGGAGGGAGTGTCACTTTGGGCATGAATCAACAGATTGGAGCCAAGAGGAACAGTTCATTCGCTCAGCATCAGTCGTTCGAGGAGATGTGTTATAATAGTCTATTGGGAGCAGTTTGAACTGCGCAAGTTCAACCTGATTTAGTCAAATACAAGCAACAAAACATTTTATGGAGTCATACAGCTCATGACTGCCGCTGAAGTCCACCTAGAAAGTTTTATAGCGGCTGTTGAAAGCGCCCAAGATGCATTTGCATGAGCCGGAAAGATGCTCAAGGTATTTTTGAATCACTGGCGTGTTGTTGAGTTGTCTTCGCAATTTCCCTCTCCGTATCAGAAGTTGGTTATACTAGAGTTGTATGGTATAAAGTTTGTGTACAGGAGGAAAAGACTATCGCAACTAATTTGATCTGATCCAAGAGCTTCGGCTTGGGGCTATTCTTATTCTTGTTTGTGAGATAATGGTTGTTGAAGGTCGTAGCAAGAACGGTCTTGACTAATTTCAAAAGAAACGAGTTGAAATCAAGCACGTGGAATGACTGATCTATGAGTGGAAACACCAAGACCCAACTGACCATATCCCTTGCTATGAAATTGCTAGCTAAGCGTTGATATTATCGGCACCGGATGGCTGAAGAAACCCGTGAAGCCGGACGGAATACCAGCCAGGTCCGACCAGCGAGCTCAACTTTGGGACTTGCCTTGAAGAACTCACGAGTGGGCTTATTCAAGAGGCAGTCAGTGTTGAGGTCAGGATGTTGGATCGGAAAAGTAGTGGGGCAAAACACTGCCCCCTTAAGAACCCGAGAAATCTCGGATGCTCAGGGCCAATTGCCAAGCTCCGATTCAGACAATCAGCCTTATGATTGGAGCGATGAGATTCCATAATCAGAACAAGGCAGATCGAAACGCAATCGTCTTTTGGAATCATTCGCAACCCAGGTGGTCTGTGATGATGCTTGCCAAAGGGAAAAGGGGATACTCGTATGTGACCCGCACCATCGATCCTCTGGTTCAATTGAGCAGCTCCTGAATCCGAGGACAGACTATCCTAAGGCAAAGTCAACCTCTGGACTTCGGATATCATGGTATTTGCGAAAATGTTCAAAAGCCGCGTATGGTCCTCGATCTTGGGCCCGGCATGAAACAACACTTTCCATCACTCAGATCAATCTCATCCAGTCACTCACTTCATCTCGCGTCGTTCTTTTCCAAAATGCGCCTATATAATCTTGGTTTTCTGCTATGCCATAGCGTCATGGCCATGGGAGTAAGTCTCTATGCTTGCTTAATTGCAGCTTTGGGCCCTGTTATCAAAGCTAACCCGTGTTCCTTCAGCAGGGCATCATTCCCAATACCCAACCTCTGAACGGATCATTGGCTTTCATAGGCCAACCAGCTACGCCTAATACCCTCAATGCGAAGACACCATTCTTTCCATCCGCTTCTCTCATGCACGAAGATAGCGGAAACACCGGGTCGACCGACTACCCAGGACCCTTGGGAGGCAACAACATGAGCCTGTTCAGCCAGCAGATCGTCACTGGTGTCATGACCTGGGGCGCGAACAATACCATGACGATTGGCTATGCCAACTCGACAACACTCGCCCGTGGGATCGCAGCCATTGACCCGCAGACAATGGAGATTCTGGCTACTTGGACCCCTCCGGACACCAACCAGACCCTCAGCCTGGGGTACCTCGAGTATCTGCTAGAGACCGACGAAATACTTTTCACCAGCCAGGAAGGCCATGTCTACTTGATTCGTCGCGATGACGACGCCGAAAGGGGAACCTCATTCACCACCATTCGTAACATTGACCTGACCACGTTTCCGTCGGCAATTGCTGATGGCGAGTCCTTGCTGAACGCGATGATTGATACGGCTGGGAATATTTGGTATACTACCGGTGGCATCCCGGGTATCGGTTCGCTGTATGCTGCGCAGACTTCTCTCACGCTCGGCTACATCACACCCGATAATCAGGTACATTCGATTCAGATGGATGGCCAGACTATCGAGAACGGCATTGCTGTCAGCAACACCACTGCCTACGTCGTCACAGGTCCCACGACCATTGGCACAGAAGGGGTGCCTCAAGTCGGATACATGCTCGCCTTGACGTCGCTTCCATCCTCTGGAGATGCTGGCTCTAATGGTGGAGTGCGAACTCTCTGGAATGCCACGTACGATGCTGGCAGTACTACAAAGCTGGGCGCCATCACTCGCGGTTCGGGATCTACGCCGGCGCTTCTTGGAGACGATTATGTGGTTATTACAGACAACGCCGATGGCCGAATCAATCTCGCAGTCTACTATCAAGGGGCCACAGAGAAAGATCAGTTGCTTTGCACCGTCCCCCTCTTTGGAGAGAACGCAAGTGCCAACGATCTAGCGGCGACAACACACTACGATGTCACAACCGGATTTTACACAGTCGTGGTGGAAAACACATTCAACGGCACCACGATGTTCTGGCCGAATGCCTCCTCGACTTTGGACGATATCAACGGTGGGTGGAACAATATGGCTGGCATGCCAGGTGGCACATTTGCGATTCAAGTCTCGGCCGATGCTCCCGGTAATTCCACAGCAGCCCCGTGCTCTGTTCGCTGGACGTCTCCTATGACGGTTAAAGCCAACCCAGTGCTGAGCACGGAGACGGGATTATTGTACTTTTACACCCAGGACGAAAAGCTTGCTGACGAGGGTATGTATGTGTGGTATGTCGTAGCTTTGGACTGGCGATCTGGCGAGGAAGTCTGGAGAGCACGCATGGGCTCCGGTGGAGCGTACAATGATAACTGGCTTCTTGGTGGCTTGGGGCCCGACGGCACTTATTATCAGGCGATGCTTGGTGGGCTCGCCGCGATGAAAGATGGCTCCAACTGATACACCCTCCCACGGTCCCGGGTTGTTAGAGGACCGCACCGTAGTCAAGGTTTGTGGCACTGGTATTGGCTTCCCAGATACTCGGATGGTACTATCACTTGTCATATAATTCAAAACTTCTTCTGCCCGGCCGTCATGGTGATGCCAAGCTCCATGTCTGCAGCATATACTGTGTATTAATGAATCGTATTATATACTGCGCATGATAGAAGGATCTTCTATCAACCAAACGTTCTTTCCCAATAGCAATTGACACGTCGCTTCACAATCTCTCCGATGGACATAGGAGTTGTCATTGAGTCTAGGCTCTTAATCGCAGTCGTCGCACAGCGCCAGGCACTGCGCCATGCAACCAGCACGCTGCAAGTTGGTCTGGCGGTCAGGCGCGTTGTAAGCTGTAGGACATGGTGTTAGAATGGTCTCATTGATCGCGCAAACTCAGGGATTTGTGCTCAACTCACTGTCCCAGCACTCAGAGGTGCACGACAAGCAAGACCCTTGGAAGGGAGCTCCGGGGCTGCATGCGGCCATGACTGAAGGCATCACAGCCGCGGCAATGACGATGAAGGCCTTGGAGAACTGCATTATGGCGGTAGAAAAGTTGATGTGCTGGTTGTTACAAATCTGTAAAGCGTCGAGTTGAGAGTAGATTGGTTGATGCGAGTGAAAAACAATGTGAGAGTAAGCTGATGAGGATAAAGTTCAAGATGGTAGGAAGAAATTGTCTCGTATATATACACATTCCTCACAATCAGTTTTCATGATGCTTCTGCTTGAGCGGCCGATGCCTGCTTGTCGGGCGGCCGATGCCTGCTATGGCTTTGTTCTTGGCGTGTGGTCTAACATCGTGTAGCCTTACTGGCAGGATCACGAAAGTCCCAAAGGACGTCAAATGATAGCTCAAGTTCCCAGACAGTGGATATCGTGAAGGATTAGGTCGTCCTGTTTCGTTAGCGATCCGCTGTCTAACTCTATTGGGGTCTTGGCAAAGTCTGAGGACTGATCATCAAGCAAGATAAGATGTTACGCGGTTGAGCTGAGTCTCGTTCCGGATATCGGCGGATAGGAGGGACTGCTCTCAGCGGGCTTGAATGCGAATGCACGAATGAGAACCAAAGTTCATTTCAGCCGTCTAACTGAGAGAGCATTTCGCTTGATATTTTAGCTCCATGCCGATCTTCTGTGCCTCGCCAGGCAGCCAAATGATCCACAGTCCCCGATGTAGGCGACGGACGGCTCACCGGGCCATCCCGCAGGATGCAGGCTCCATGTAGCCTTAAATGTGGCTGTGATGATCCTTTCAGGCAAATTCATCTTATCAGATCGAATGTCTTCAGCTGATCAGTCTGTCGTATGCAGCCATTTGTAAGACTCAACCATGATCACCGCTCTCACTAGCGTGGCTAGGCAACCGGCAGCAGCGAGATGACGTCGAGGAAGAGGCTGAGCAAGTGCAATGTGTAGACTGCAGCTGCGGTCGGGTTGAGCTATCCCTTCGTACATAGACATACATCTAGGAGTGCGCCTATAAACTGTATGTGACATAGACAATTATTGTAAAGACCAAATGATCATGCGTTCCGTTTTCTTTAACTCATAAGCCGCTGATACCAAGTGCGTCGCATGATAGAGCTACTTGACACACCTAAAATAGTGAGATAGTGCAAGAGCGCAGTGGCACCACGTGGGGTGATCTACCTACGAGCAAGGAAATTTCCTATTCGGAGAACATTGTCAAAATTGTCAAATGTTATCAACCGATGGTTAACCCAAAAATAAATGCCCAATGCGTAGTGTGTTAACGCATAGGCTGAAACGTCTGGACCATGCGAAGAAGTAGTATAAAATATTAAGTTGGCAGAAGGCCGGCCTGGATGACCAACTCGATCGGCCAAACTGAATTTTTGCCGATGCTACGTTCAAGGCCACCTTCATGATTCGACGTCCCATTCTCTTGGCCTTGTGACCTGCGTTCCTCCACAACAAGCGTTTCAATATTGCTAACATAGGGGAATATTAAGATTACGTGCTAGACGTATGTACAGTATGGAAATATGTACAGAGAAATAGGGCTGACCCGAATTACCACCACCAGCCTTGCTTCTTCTTGACCCATCCGTGAACGACAGATGCAATGTCGAGGTTGTTCATCTCAAGGTGACCAAAGTGGCCGTTGCCCTTGATACCAATGTCACCCAACTTGATCCACTCGGGGTTCCCTCCGACTTGCTTTAGATAGTCGATGATACAGTGATCGTAGGTGATGTGCACACTGGCCTCTCCCGTCAATGCCACATAAGGCACGCTGGAGATCTTGGGAAGCTGGCGCGCCGGTTCCTTCTGGCGGTAGCAGTTGCGAAGCGCCAACGTCTCATTGCCCACAGACTCGATCTCATCTGCGAGCTCGGCCGAGTCCGTAACGGCGGGCTCGTAATCGACTTGAGTGTTGGTGAGACCCCATGGATTGGCAGAGCGGCCCCCAAGCCCATATCCGTAGGCCCAGAAGGGAATTGTCGATGGCTCGAGGTTGATGCTGCCGGCGAGATATTGAGGGCAGTCATTGGAGATAACGAGAGCAAGCTTGGAACCCAGGGAATGTGACACCAGGTACGACTTGGCGCCGATGAGAGATAGCAACTCGCAGCCAGCGGTGCGGATGGCCAGCTCCTGAGAAACATAACTACTTGTGTATGGGATGAAGCTTTGCTGGAACTGGTCGAAAGTAGGGTCGCCCCTCAAGCCGGTGCCAGGCCACTGTGTATGCAACTGGGATTGAGGATAGGTGTTGTATTCCTTGACACCTGTGAAACCCATCTCGACGTACTCCACCGACATGCCCACATTCATGGTGAAGTTCGCCGGGTTGTTGGCGGTGGACCGTCCGATGCTGTTCGCGTCGATCAGATAAATCTGATATCCCTTCTGCAGGAAGTAAGTCGCCCACCCCGGGCGGTTGTCAGGGGTGTTGAGCCATGTGGTGGCGGAGATGCCACCGCCGTGGAGGAAGACAAGAGGGGTTGACCGAACTTTAATGATGGGCGTAAGCTTCTCGACATAGATCTGGCCTATGACGAAGAAGAGGTTAGAAAACCGTGGAGGGAAACTCTTATCTGGAAGGCTGCATTGTCCTACCAATTGTGATGTTTCCTGTCGGGTCCGGTGCGCTTTGGCCTCCCACGTAGAAGAACTCTCGATGATGCAGACTTTCCTGAGGGCTGCACTTTGAGCTGACAGCGTTCACGCCGGTGCAGTCGGCACCTGCAGCGGCGCCAGCGGCAGCCAATGCGACCGCGGAGAGTGCCGAAAGTCGGACCATGGCTCCTGATTGTCGTGGGCGAGCGTCGAGTTTGAAGAAGAGTTGACACGCGCCAAAGGGGGCCAGAAGTCGCACTAAGAGCGCGCACAGAATGTCCAGCGCGGAGACACGACCGGCGGCAAACACATCAGCAGGTTTTTCCCCCTCTTTCTTTTCTTCATGTTTCTGGGGCTCTTACGAACGAGAACGACTGTTAATATACGCTAAACGCTGGGACTTGTTCGTTTCTGTGTTGGTCCGAATCGAGGCAGACCGATCCCGCCAAATTGCGGTCCCCAGGCCAAGAACCTCGTGCAGGGCAATTTCGGGGAACGAGACGGCACCGGGGGAACGCCGGTCGGAGGTGTTACCCAACCGAACATCGCCAAGAGCAAAACCCCTGCCTGCCGTCCTCGCAAGGCGGAGTGACAAGCCGGGAAGAACCATGAGAACCTCTTTTCACAGTTCCCCAGTGCATGTTGGGTCTTCTCCAATCTTTGACGCCATCAGACTGTTATTGGCTGTGCCTCCCACTCGCAGAAGCGAGGGGCCGAGGCCTGCGGTTCTCTGCGATGTTTGCGAGCGCCCACTGGCATCCATGACTCGCCATCGACTCATTCTCACCACACCTGCCCGCACCAGAGCCAACCTTGTCCTTGTAGCTTAATCTGCACGGCATGGCAGCTGAATGGTTATCGCGGGCTTTTCCAAGAATGCCCAAACATCGGCTCTTCCCCCATGCTGATCCCGCTGTTGCGAAATTCTTGTCGATACGACCCTCCCACGATCCCGGGACCTCGCACCCGGTAAGCGATGCTGAAGATCAAAGAAGGCCGGGTTTCCCACGATGTGAAACCATGCTAGCCCGCGCGTCTGGCCTTGATACACTGAAAATAATTTGGAGCGGTTCAGCCCATCTCGAAAGAAAGCTGCATAAAGCGGACCGGCCGCCCGCTCCCGTCGCGGGTCTCCTCTTTGCATGTTGAGCTCGGTTAGTTGGACGACTTGTTTCTCGCCATGTCGAACAGCAGCACGGCCTCCGCGAAGATCGGGAAGCCGCCCAACAACACCAGGGATTACAATGTCATTAGGGGGATCTACCGGCAATATGGAGTCACGACGCTCGACCCTGCTCTGGGTTACATCTTCGCCGCCCAGGAGCCAGCGAACGCCGTTCACGAATCGAAACAGGGCGCCATCATTGCCGGCATGGTGATAGTGATGCTTGCTATAGTGGTACCGACGACTGGAAGGTTGATTGTGAAATGGAGAGGAACGCAGACGAAATTTGGTTGGGATGACTGGGTGATTGTTGCAGCTTCGGTGAGTTGGAACTCTTCCAACCTATCCCTGAAGTGCATGAAGAGGGACTCATGCTGATGACTTGCCAGATCCTCGCACTGGTCTACCCGATCCTTCAGATTCTCGTCGTCGTCGATGCTGGCGGCGGCCTTCACACCTGGGAAAACACTTACGACGACTACCAATTCTACTCATACTACCTCACCATCTGCAAAATCATATACTACCCAACGGTCGGCATTATCAAAATCTCGATCACGCTCTTCATCCGCCGACTCGTCGACACAGCTTTCAAGACCTGGAGGATCCTAGCGGACATCTTCCTCGGCACTTTGGTGGCATTTGTCGTCGCCTCCATATTCTGGAACATTTTCCTCTGCAACCCTCCTCGAGCTGTATGGGATAGAGAGTACGCAGGATCTCTCGCAACAGCAGCTACTTGTGGGAACCAGTTCCTGGCAGCCAAAGTTCTCAGCATTATTCACGTAGTGCAGAGTGTGCTTCTTCTTGCCACGCCTATCATTATCCTGTGGCGTGTCCGTATTGATACGAGTAAGAAGGTCAGGCTCTTCATCATTTGGGCGGCGGGTGGCCTCACTGTTGCTGGAGGCCTGCTCCAGCAGACACAGCCCTTCACGTCCACCGACATCTTCTGGGACTACACCATTATCCTTCGATGGACCGTGCTTGATATCTCAATGGGCATTGTCACGGCGTCATTGCCGGTATTGGACGCTGCGATCATGGGATCATGGCACGCAGCCAAGTCCACGCTTGGTCTTTCCAACGCAGACAGGCAGGGAACCAGCAAGAATACCACAAATCCGGAGCACACGAATCATTCCAGGCGGAAGACGTATGCCAGTTCATCTGAGAACATTATTGGAAAGGAGGACGGGGTCGAGCTGGGCGTAGTCCAGCACAACAGACCCGATGAGCCCAGGGAAAGCTCGGATGCAGATACTACAGCCCCCGGCAGAAAGCACGGGGTGAACAACATGGTATGATGAGATGACGATAATTGTAACGTATTAGCGTAATAAATAAAGCATGACGCAGTAGATATTCTGCTATCAACACTCAAAGTCTCAAAACTCTGCTCCCCCAGTTCACGGTGTGTGGCAATACTTGGTCACAGTGGCACATATCAAGCGCCATTCGGTGGAGTGTTGACGATCTTTTGGCAAGTCTACCCCTTCGTGATGGTCAACAAGGACACCACGTTGGCCCGAGGGCTGACGACCGAGTTCTCGGAATATCCCTGTTATCCGAGCAGATTGACGATCCCCGCGTCCGTGCATTGTCTGTCTGAAGCCCGTGATGTGGGTGCTTGTCCCACCGGATGGCACTCTGTTGAACCATATCCAATTTGGGGTCCTGACTCAAGTCATAGCTTTCGACGGCGAAGAAAGAACTGCCGGCCGGTAAAACATCGCTTGCTCGCCTTGTTTGCCGTGGAGATAAGGGGTTTTCCAGATATTGGAAGGGTATTCGGCGACCCGATGAAAAATTCATCAGTATTGAAGAGTTTATGCTCGTTGGCGGAACAGCCGTCATGGGCTGGGATCATCCCGATACAAATGCTAAGAATACTGCTCTGTAGTTGCTTAGATAACCTCTCGGATTCCGCAGCTCTCCACTCATGACGCCGCAGGAAGCATCACAGTCGGTTCGCTATCGGCTTTTCGCTGTAGTAAGTTGTTGATGGCTGTTCTGCGTCGCTGAGGTAATCATTATGAGGTGGGCCTCAGAGTGTAGGTAGACTTCGGCCCCATGTATGCGACAAATTCTTAACAACCACGGAGGTTTTATGTTTGACCGTAGCATCGGCATTTGTAGCTGTGATACCCACCTTATTTAGTCGACCACTAAGCTTGTTCACTCCAGCATTTTCCTGAACTGAATTTCAGGTCGTACACCGATTGAGTATGACTTTGCGAGATTAGAGTCACACGATGGGAAGTCTTTGGGGCTGATGAGCTTGTGCCTCTCGAAGCAGGACTACTAGCAAAGCAACCAACATAGCTGGACAAATCCTCGCATACTAGTCAATCACATTCGATCGCAAACCCAAAAGCCCCTCGACCATAGATTCAACTCATGTCAAGTTAGCACGCCGAAAGGTGGTGTGAAATAATCAATAGATTGTTGCTGATGGTGGTCAGATGGGCACTGGGGTTACAACTCCCAAATAGTTCAAAGCCCACGCGCCGCCACAGCAACTAAGTGTGTCACTCAAATCATCGGTTGCTCCTGCCCTGCTATCCAACCTTTCTGTGCCAGGCGTAGAACCGATGTCATTGGACTTATGATCAAGTTTTGGCTGATGGTTAATTTGATCGGTGACGTCAATGCATCCTTTACTACGAATGAGTATGGCCTGCTGAGATATTCCCGGTGTGAGTCTTCTTCAGCTCAGCCACGTCCTCCCCTTACACCCAATTCGTTACCCATCATCCCAAGACAACATTGAGGCTATTGCCGCCGAGAGCCGACTAAAGCTCGATGATCAGTCAAACTGACATCATTCCGTCACTCCAGTGGGCACGAGGTTCTCCTACGGCCGATGGCAAGCGTCGACCGAAGCTTCGATTCAGAAACCCTCATCGCATGCCAAGGGCGCCTACAATGCTCATGGGTCTTGAAAGTCTCGTGGAGGAAGCGAGAAAAGTGCAATAGTGCGCGATTTACAAGAAATGTAAATGTCTGACATGTCGTAATGTCAACTTGCCATCGCCCCCAATGTAAGACAGCCCAAAAGGGTTCGTGTCTGCAGCTGTTGCAAGCATAGTCAACAGCTGGGGAACCAGAAGAGAGATTTGACCACCTTCCTATTCTAGACAGTATTGTCTGACCATCACGTACTTGGCAATCCTTCTGCTGCATGGAATGCGGGACTAACCGTTGCGAACTGTCCATTAAAGGGAGAAGGAGAGTGCACACCGGAAAAGCGGCGTGCGTTTGTCGGGTTTCTTGCGCCTTTCAGGTGTAAAGATGCGACGATCCGATCCATTCGGCTCCGGCACATCGCGGGCTGGACCGCCGGAAAATATCCCATTGGGGCTGGGGAGCCTTGGCCTCTGCCTGATCACACTTTGCAGGGGCAATCTTCATGGTCAACTCAGCTCTTCAATTGGCTGTCTCGCACTTCCGCCCTGATGTGTGTGATGACGACGCAAGGGAGGCTCTGTGCCTCTTCAAGTGAGGCCATCACGAGAAAGTCTGGATTCTATGGTATCAGTAGGCCCGATCAAGGTCCTACCATCCAGAAGGAGGCAACCCTCGTCCTTCCACACCTGATGTGACTTGGCGAAGGATGCTCATCGTGGCATGGCCATCGGCCTGTCCGCAATCCTTCAGGTCTAGGGACTTGATGGCAACTATAAGTAGTTGAACTTCTCTACTCACGAACATAACTGAATATCTTAGCTCGGCATCAAAGCTTAGGCATTACAGACAAGCTCATCATCATTTCGACCGTCCGCATCATGCGATTTTCTACCATTGCAACTATTGCTTTCGCCGTAGGGCAGGCTTACGCTCTGGTCCGGTCCCCGACCCCGACTGTCAGCGGCTCATCATACGTCGTTGACGGGCAGTATACGTTTGCAAACAGAGCCATCTTCAACTTTGCGACCGGAACTACTCTTCCGAGTGGGCTGTACAGAAGCACGTACTCTGTTGGGACACACACTTACGAAGCTGCCAACGCCGTCGTATCTGGTGGTTATCTTAACTTGATAGTTCCCGGTGGTCAAACTGCCCAGCCTTACAAATGTGGCGAGGTCGTCACTACTGTTGCCAACATCAAGTACGCTTCTGTTCGAACCGTCGCCATTTTCAGTGAGCCTGCTGGCGTTTGCAATGGTAAGAACTTCTCAGCTCTTATTTCTGACTCAAACTGTCTGAACCTATTAACTTACAACGACATAGGCATCTTCTACTACAAGAATGACACTCAAGAGACCGACATTGAATGGCTTTCGGACCCCAGCTCGCTAAGCAACCAAGGCACCCGGAAGCTCTGGTTCACCAACCAGGATGCAGACCAAAACGGTGTCAAGACCTACAACGCAGTCACTCCACCCTCGGATGCTACAAGCGCCGAGCACGAGTACCGTCTTGATTGGACCCCAGGTCTGGTTCGATGGTTTGTAGATGGTGTGCAAATCTGGAACACTACCAGTGACGTGCCCAACTCCGCTGCCCCGTGGGTATTTAACAACTGGGCCAACGGAGACCCTGGCTGGAGTGTCGGCCCTCCCAAACAGACTGCAAACTTCCGCATCAAGGATGTCTACATGTACTACAACACCTGTTCCGGAAGCAACTGCTGAACTTAAGGCGGGGTATAGTCGTGGATTAGCATTGTAAACGCTATAGAGTAAGGACTGTTGTTCGCTTTGTTTGTATTTCAGCTTCCACTATGCTTCAATCTTGTAGGAGTACCACCGAAATAACACTGTCTCTATCTCAACTATCACGGTTACTTTTGTGCATCAAACCTAATTAGACAATCGAATCATCGATCATGGATAGGTCAACGTCTTTTCTTGGGCTAAGAAAAGAATTGGTTACGATCAAGTACGCTAATTGTCACACTAGTTGTATACACACGAATGGGTTATGCGTGGTTATGCGGTGACAGTTTGAAGGAAACCCCACCTAAAGCTACTCTGGGATGCGAAAGACAGAGAGCTCAAGACCTGCCATTTCATAGTCCTCAGGATTATTCATTGTGGACAACAGTACCCGTCCAAGCCCCTCGTTCCCAATCAGAGAGTTGTAGATGATGCCGATGGGCGAGACAGGAACCATGACTGAGCAGTCGCTGATGGACAACAATCCTGGAGCAAGCCGCATCAGCCTCAACGCCTCGATTGCCGGCTGCCACTGATACTTCAGCTCGTCCGGCATGTACAGTGGGTCTCTAACGGCCTTTTGCACACTGGAGTCCATATCCGTTGGGAATGGCTGCGGCCGACGGTCGCCTGTCCGCAGAGCGTAAAGAACGTGCATCAGGTAAATCAAGGCAGAGTTATAGACCAACAGGTCAGTCACCTGATCCGCCGTCTGAACCTCCAACGCTTTCGAAAGAAGATCCTTTACCCAAGGCTGTGGTACGTCGTCTGCAGTAATTGGAAGCCACACTTCAGCTGCCGATCGCGGATTGGCAAGCTCCCAATTCCTTCGCCACTCGTAAAACCTTGCGAGCAAATCTCTAGTCTCCATCTCTATCTCGATCTTGTCGTCTTCTGAGAGAGTAGCAGAAGAAGGACCCAGCGAGGCTCCCAAGCCTGGTAGTTCGATGTACAGGTCTATCAAGATATCGTACGAAGTCTTGCGAGTTTTCATCCAAGGAATAGTCTTCCATTTTTCTATGTTGAAGAAGGAGGGTTTCTTGTTGTTGAAGGAACTGCAGGACTGGCCATCATATGACCTCGTGAGCTTGCGCCGGGTTTTGTGGGGGGTTTCCAAGTTTCTTTCAACAGATGTATCGTAATATGTGACACTTACATGCTGAGCCCTAATTTGGCGGTAAATTGTCAGCATGGGCTCCTGCTGGAAGTACTCTGGCCCGCAGTACTCGATGACCCTAACAACACCATAGTAGTGTGGAAGATTGGCATTCCCCTCAACGGCATACTGGGCAAATCGTCAGATGTTGCTGAAAGGCTGCGGGAGTCTGATACTCACTTGATACATGCACAGTACTATGATCGTAAAAGCCCAGCGCGCCATCTCCGACTTCGACTGTTGAAGCAGAGCCCCATGCAAGCCTCTGATGACCTCGCCATTCATCTCATACCCATCCGAAAGCATCTTCGGCTCCTTTACGGCTTTACCCATAAAGGCAAGAGCAGTAGCCAGACAGGCTCGATAATGGGCCCTTTCGGCTGGCGTGGACGCTTCGGACATGGATGTTCGCAGTAGCGGCTTCCAGAACGGGCCCCAGCGGTAGTTAGCGAGCAGGTGTGAGAATGCCATGCTGTCGCGGAACGCAGTCAAAGGCAACTCCCGTGTCATATCAGACCGGGCTAGCGCCGTCACCGCCCGGTTGGGCACCGGGACTAGTTGCTGGCTGCCGCTGCTCTCGCCAACTGTCAAGTTCTGCATGCGCAGGGGCAGCTCGTACCCCTGGCATCTGTGGCCAGATTTAAGGCAGCGATCACACTCCGGACGGCCCTTATCTGCGGTAATGGTGTGGTAAGTTTCATGTTCTTAGGTCACAGTAGAGGGCCTTGAGTCTGGAATGGGTTGCCTACCACACTTCACTCGTCGTCTTCGGCAAGTGTGACAATACCCGCTAGTTGGCGCGCGTCCCATGATTCACACGTGCCGTTGAACGTCGAAGTAACGGAAAAAAGGGTGAAATAAAGCCTCAAATCAACGCGTGGACAAGCAATGCCAGAAGCAATTTCAGAGTATTGATGGTGGGCGTACGAAGAGCGACAAAGCGGTCGGTTGTCAAGTGGATGCGGACGGCTGGCTAGGTCTCGACCAAACTTTCCCAATCAACGAGTTGAGCGCTTTTAAAGCAGCTATTGTCATTCAAGGTGGCGGTTTGGGACATTCACCATGTGCTGAGATTCTGCCCGAGGCGCGCGCAGCTCCATCGAAGGCTTTTGTAATCATATTGCAAAAGAACCGCGCGGCCCGAAGCGATTGGTAGCGTGTCAGCACTAAACCACTCTGAAATGGCAATTTGAACTGACTTCGCTTATTGGGTGTAGAAGCCAGCCAAATTGAATACGATGGGAAGTTCTGCAACCATGATTGGCTGAGCATTTGCGATGAGCCTCCCGATGCGGTAAGTTAGGTCGAGGTGCATGATGCTGCTGATGCCATTGGACGCGCTTCTGAAGAGAATTGCTTACATGTCCAACTGCCTTTGATTGATGTCATTGACGCGAAAGTTCTTGACATCTTACATCGTGGAATGCCGTAAAACATGCTATTCGGGCGAAGGTGATTAAGGCGTTTGGGGCCTCAACACAACCACGGAGTGGCTCCCACTGTTCATGATCATGCAGGCGGATGAGGACTTATCCGCCCTATTGACAACTCGGAGAGACACAATCACTGACTCTCGCGGACCAGAAACGTGATTGTGTTGATTTAACATTGTGAAAGATTTCCGAGAATGTGCCGGTTCTACATGCGAGGTCTCAGCATAAAAATTGGAGGGCTTGTTTTCCATTTTTGAGTGCTGTGATTAGGTTGGCTGCGCTGAAGACCAGTTCAAATGATTCCCAGTTCCCCATACGGACACGTCCGCGGAGATTTCCAATTTGCCAAGTCCTCCCAGCCATGCCATGATGGGGTCTCTCGTATGCGATACAACGCCTTGAAGATCTCATGCTTGCCGACAGCTTGGTTTTCAGTTCCACGGTGGGTTACACAGCCTGTAAGCCTGGTCTGCCAGATACTGAAGCATTTGCTTGGCTGTCATGACTGAAATGCAGAACGAATCGTCACATAATGGTTACCCATAAGGTACCTAGTAGGTCAGTCATGCTTTGGCTTCGGATTGATGCCCGCAACGAAAATGAGAGATCATCGGAGAAAATAGAGAGAATGTCTGGATTGGTTAAGATCGTATCAGTCAGATTCAGTAGAGCTCCGGGCTATTCAACTTGTTGGAGCGAAGCTGTGATTTCGTTGACTGGTAATGCAATGAGTTCCATACAGATTGTACCTTACTGTTAATCCTGACCTTGTACGTTTTTTCGACAGCGTGTGTACAATAACTCCGGATGTCTCTCCTTTTTCCATGCTGCTTGAGCTCAGTATCATTACCCCAAGTCCACCGGCGCCAATTACGCGGGACCCAGTTAGCCCCGTTGTCCCCATTGCGGTTTACTCGATAGAATAAGCTTCTTGTTACTCGATCGAATCGCGATCCGAACTCTGATTGGCTGCACCCCGCACACTCGACGGACATCAATATCTGAGCAACCGACGGGATATCAAAGCCAAGCCGACAAGGGGAATGTTAGGCTACCTGCAAGGAACGGACATTCCTTGGAAAATCGCGATCTGCAATGCAGCTGCGGGAAGGATTGCCCAAAGAGTTGAACAAGCAAGTTCATGCCGCTCAGCGATCCTCGGCGCTTCCCGACTCGATCGTTGTTGTGGCACTGAAGCCATCCCACTTGAGCTACGCAGCAGCCCATACAAACGGACCTTGACCGAAAAGAAATAGACGTTGGTAGAAAATTGAGCCCCCAGTTGCGGAAAAACTCGGAGTGCTACTTGATTTCCCTGTCTGCTGATCAGCAGTCACTGCGCAGTTCCTCTCTACTTACTCTGCAGTGAGGCCTGCAAGGAAGCCTGCAGTTGAACCTTCAATGTGTAATGCCAAGTCTTTAGCTAGCATCCGAGCGAAGCTACACACATCATATCCCACGCCTTCCGCGTATGCAACTAGAGTTCATCATGCGTGTATGTCGCAGGAAGACGACTAGAGCAGGTACTATAGACGCTCAACTGTGACAAAGTGTGAATCTGCGCGGAATGCTAGAAGAACATAAAGAGAATGAAGACAAGAAAGCTCATGCCCTTCCAAGAAGAGAATAGACCTAAACGGAAGATAGATCATCCCAATCCAGATACAAGAAGAGCCCACCTCAAGCCGCAGACACACACATTACTGACACACCTCCATCCAAATACCTTAGAGTGCCAAGACTGCCAGGAGACCTAAGATCCTGGTCGGGAGATTCCATGCTTTCAACCTGTCTTTTCGGGAACATCGGACCAGAATATAGCTCAACCTGCTCACGATCTCCATGTGGGACTCAGATCTGACAGATATAAAGGCCGATCCAACCACACTAATTTGGGCTACTCCTCCAATCTTACCGTCGTTATCAAAAAGACAGCAGGAGCAACCAACATAATTCTCTCTCCATCATGGTTTTGCCCCGGTTCTTCGGGGTGGCGCTCTTTGCGACAAGCATCCAGGCCCTTCTCCCGAACAACTCTTCGTCAGACCTCCTTGTGTTTGCGTCGTCCCGCGTCGTTCTAAGCGGATCTGTGAGCGAGGCAACTCTCGTGGTCAACACGACAACCGGCAAGATCATCTCAGTCGACAACTCCGTCAGATCACCCTCCGAATTCCCTCCAGGCACTGTCTATACAGACTATTCGCCAAAGCTCCTGCTTCCTGGCCTACTCGACGCCCATGTCCATCTCAACGAGCCCGGCCGGACGGAATGGGAAGGGTTCTGGACCGGCTCTAGAGCGGCCGCATCGGGGGGTGTCACGACACTGATTGACATGCCTCTCAACTCTCTTCCGCCCACAACCACTGTCGAGAACCTCATGACTAAAGTCAGGGCAGCCGACGGGCAGTGCTGGGTTGACATCGGCTTTCATGGTGGTCTGATACCCAACAATACGCAGCACCTGAAGCCTCTGGTCGACGCGGGTGTACGCTCATTTAAGGGGTTTCTCATTGAGAGCGGTGTGGATGAGTTCCCAGCCATAGGTCCCAACGATATCGAAGCAGCCATGTATGCCCTTGCTGGCTCGCCTACCACAGTCATGTTCCATGCGGAGATGGTGCCTCCCAACGTAACCCTCGTTGGCTCTGGCGCACCATACACTGGCCCTCTGACTAGCTATCAAACCTATTTGGATTCTCGACCTCCAACACTGGAGACATACGCCATCAGTCAGATTCTTTCCAAGGCCCACGTTGCACCCGAGTTGGACTTGCACATTGTGCATCTGTCTGCTGCTGAGGGCATCCCTATGTTGCGCGAGGCAAGAGACCGTGGCATCCACATCACCGCCGAGACGTGCTTCCACTATCTCAGCCTGGCCTCCGAGGAGGTTCCCGAGGGAGACACCCGCTACAAATCAGCCCCTCCAGCTCGCGAGCTGTCCAACCAGGCACTTCTATGGGAAGAGCTCTCGCGTGAGAATGGCGAAGGTGTCATCAAGACCGTAGTCTCGGACCATTTGCCCTGCACACCAGACCTGAAGTTGATTCCCGAGTCACTGCCTGTTGCCCCGCACAGCCATCGGGGCGAGGATGGTGACTTCTTCAGTGCGTGGGGAGGTGTCAGCAGTCTCGGCTTGGGTCTCTCCATTCTTTGGACACAGGCCGATTCTCGAGGTATCACCATCGAGGATATCGTTCGATGGACGAGTACAAATACGGCACGTCAAGTTGGCTTGGAACAGGAGAAGGGTGACCTGGGCGTAGGATTCGACGCTGACGTGGTGGTCTTTGATGATACAGCTTTATGTGAGGTCAACACCGACACCATGTTCTTCCGAAACGAGGTCTCCCCCTTCGAAGGAAAGACACTCAAGGGAGCCGTGGACGAGACTTGGCTGCGCGGGCGGAAAATATTTGATCGTACAACGGGATTCGATGAGGAGCAGGGCCCGGTCGGAAGAACTATCCTGGAACCGCGGCGGCGAAAGGCTGTGAGAATGGTCTAGATCACAATGTGATCTGCTATTGGTATACCTTGTCGAGTATTTCGACCATTGCTTGAATACGTTTTGCCGTATGTTTGTAGCATTGAATTCACCTTAGCTTCAAGTGGGTTGCCTGGAGTGACATTCACTTTTGTACAGTGAACTATCGTCGGTGGGAAACCTTGCAACTTCAACGTATGTAGAGTAGTGTTATGAATGATATCATCGCTATGCTAAATCCTCCCGAAAGATGTTCAAAAAGCCTCCATCAAGGTGGCCAGAAACAGCAACATCAAACGGTGGGTATCAGGCCTGAAATAGCCTCATTTCGCTGGACGTAATCGCTCGCTTGCTGTTCGTTCCTGCGTGAAACCCACGGATCAGTTCTTGCCTTGACCTTTTGATTCGCATTTCGTCGGGAGGTTGGCTACTTACCTGCGGGACAAGAAGTAACACAAGTATTTGTCAAGCCAGTGAGAGGCCCTTTGCAGCAGTAGCTGCCGCCGAGCGGACGAATGGTGTCTGTAGAAACGGACTGGGTGCAGCCGTTACATGACCCGCTACCATCGGGGAAGGTGCAGGCCTTGAAGCAACCAAAGCTTTTGCATTGGCTGGTTCCGTCGGTGACCTGAAGATCGAAGAGCTCGGATTCGTCGTTACCACACGCGGCGAAAGCCTGAGCTGCGAACAGAGCAACGAGCGGCAAGAGTTGAACCTTCATGTTGGGAACGTTGACGAAGAGCGAGAGAGTACTGGTGGCAACGAGAGTGGTGTAGAGATTGCAGCGAAAGGGATGCGATGATCGACATCGCTGACATGAACCGAGGACACAAATCTTTATATGGAGTGCGTTGATAAATAATAGAAGCTGGATATTACGAGACTCTGGGAAAGTCTAATAAGTGTACCCCTGTCTGGAACCATGCTACATTTGGTAGCACATTCGTATCAAGGCATTTTCAAATCCCGTTCACTGTGGAAATATTCCGACGTACTGCTTCGGTAGACTAATCAGTCCGAATAGCGACTGGTCATTCTGATCACAAAGTTCTTTTCTGCTCATAAGAGGCTGTGCAGATGATGCGTCCATGTTCCTGAGATGCCAAACAAATGGTCCGGGCGTCGTGATTGAGTCGCGCAAAGACGCCCTGTCTTGAGTAACCTAGCGGTCTTTACGTCGGCACAGGCGAGGGGAAAGGCAGATGAAGCGTCCGTAGGGCGTAAAAAGAACTAGCTGTAGAGTGAAGGTCGGTATATTCGCTAAGTGGTAAGGTTCAACCCCCAGGCAACTGTTTCGCCAGACTCCTTGATACTGGCGGCAACAGGGAGCCGTTACGGATACACGCTCACGGGCGCATAACTGGCCTGATCACATTCAGTATCACGACTCATGACGGCCCCCAACAGGCCCCGGGGGAGCTGACTATCCCAAACCTCCAATCCCTTGGCCTGATCATGCCGATCACATTCTAGAACCTTTCATGGGGCGACCCTCCGCACCAGATTCATCCAGCATAACATCTACCAGATGAACCAATACATCCTCAAGCATCCCGGCTACTGTTAGTGAGAATAGACTTTACGCGTATCCGGGTGTATGTGCGTCACCGGTAAAACGGGTCGTTTTCGAATTATGGCAACAGTCGTCTGGGGTACTTGGAAATGAGAAACCACTATTCTCCGTGCCGATTCCGAGCGGCATAGGACATGATGAACGTCGCGGACGGAAAATTTGATTTACTCGATGAAGAGTTTGAAGATGCCGATTTCCTGAAGCTCTAGATCTCATACCTTACTGGGCTTCTCCAGTGAACTGTAGTTCTGATAAGTATGTGAAGTGTTTCCTTTCCGGTGAACAACCCGCTCAGCCTACGATGCGGTCCTGACCCAACTTTCAATTACGTGCAGTTCGATCGGCCACAATCGGCGAAAGTCCGATCACTGAAAGACACTGACATGAGAGAAACAAGCTCTCCCCAGCGCACGGAAGTCGCCCGTGCCCGCATTGCCAGCCGGCGAAATCTGATTTCCCGTTTCCCAGCCGCAAGACACCACGAGCTCAAGCTAATGGGAAACTTAAATCGGCTTTGAATCCTTGGCTTGGATGAACAGGGTTCAAGGACGCCAAAAACTCGCCTTCCATCTCGAACAATGGTAACGTCTCCCGACGGTCGACGATGCCCCACGTCCACCCATACCGACTATTTGGTCATACAAACTCCCACTCAGTTAGCTGGCCCCTGTCAATCGGCCACACCTCGCCTCCCATTCTTCCGTGGACAAGTGCAGGAGATACCATTTCGAAATATGGCCCCTGAGGTCGGACAACTAATGGCACCGAAAGCCCCGCAAGAACGCAGATTAAATCGCCCTCAAGTATCTCACTGTTCGCTTTTCCAAGCCTGCCCGACTCAGTAACGAACAGCGCTCCGCCAGCTGAGCTGACTATGAGCTGTGTAGCAACATTCTCGTTGTATTTGGTGAGTTCCCATATTTCTTCCGGGCTTGTCTGCTTGTCAAGTAGTCTCCAAGCCTCTTCCGAAGCGGGTCGCTTCAATTCGTCATTCACCAATTCGATCTTGAACAGTTCTTTGAACCCAGCTGTAAACCCATCTGTACTGATCGCGTTTGTGCTCAAAGACTTGGTAATAAAATCCGGAAATGAGTATCCGAACTTGGCCCTCACTTCTTCATTGGCTCGATCCACGGGATGGAGTTCTTGACTGATGCATGGACCGACGTTGTCGATTTTTGTTCCCTTCATGACCAGTCTCAGGCCGTCGGCACTGAAGTTGATTGACGGTTCAGCGCCATTGCAAGCATTGACCTCCGACGCCGCTGATTCCCAAAGTCTCCGACGAGACAAGACGCTAGTTGGTTCTGCAACCCAGTTGACTGCCCAAGATGGCAGCGTCGGGGAATTAGGCTGGACAAATCCATGCAGCAGAACCTTAAGATTCTGGTGCTTTGTGATGAGCAGTCTAGTCGCTTCAGAACATAGCTCTTCGGGCGAACGGTCGTAAGATACACGGATCTCTTGAAGAACACCGTGGAATAGTTCTCGCAGGGCGAATATCTTATCCCGCGGATCCGACGCCTTCATTCGAAGCATGTTTTGCAGTGAGAGGGCCAACATCCACGGGGGCGGCTGCGACGTGTTGACGTACTGCAGGGATTGAAGAAGACTGAAATGGAGATACAATCGGTTGCTGACCTGATGATCAAAAATGTTCGGATATGCAATGGCGCGGACGGTCGAGAGTGGGCACAGCTGGCCAGTGACACAAAGGAAGGCGGAAGTAGTGTGTGTGCACTCTTGTAAAGTCCACATTCGAGACCAGTACGGTGCGCGAGAGATGTTGGATATGATTTCTTCTCTGTGACCTACATTTATGATTGATAGTCAGTTATGTTTTAATCGAGTGCGAAGATAATTTAGTGGAATTCCTTGCCTTTAGCAACTAGATTACTAACAATTAGGTGCAGCCACTTTATGAGTGGGATAAGCCACTCAGGCTCGTACCTATTAGTCGTGAGGAAGCGAAGTAGCTGGATCATCTAAAGGCTCTTAAGATTAGGTAGTGCGCAGCTTATCCTAAGCTATAAGATGACCTGTGAGGCACAGCTATAGATCTCAGCTATCATCCCAACTTATATGCTTTTCTCTGCATTAGATAACTAATTAATACTGGAATGGGGTTTAGTGGGCCTACTAGATTTTTTGGCGTTTTTAGCGTTTAGAGGCTAGATTACTAGCCCCCCTTAAGGGGTAAGAAGTTAGCTTAGATATTATTATCCTTATAGAGATAATAAGCTTAATTTACTTATTTTTTAGTAGATTTTTAAGCTTTTTATTTTATTCTTTTTATTTTAAATCTATAAAAAACATAAAGAGTTTTTTCTTTTTTCTTTTAAAATTATAAGCTTTAAAACTATAGAGTTATATAGTTAAAGTAGCTTTATATATTTTTAAGTATATATATACTACTATACTATATAGTTCTTAGCTACTTAGCTTATAACTATTTTAATAATACTTAGAAGTAGATTTATTCTTCTTTTAGATACTTATATAAGGTATTAAAAGAAAGCTTATTTTTATACTAAGTAAATAGATTAAAGTGATATATATAATAACTATAACTATTATTACTAAATAGATAATATTAAGAAATATAATATATTAATAGGAGTTAAGTAGTTATTTATAAACTTAATTCTTAATAAGTAGAAGAGTATAATAGCTAAGTATAATTCTATTAATAAGAATAGAGGGGATATAAAAAGATTTTAAAAAAGACTTTAAAAATATTATAATTTATATAGTAAAGAGTATTAGATTTTTATTTATTTCTATTTTTATTATTCTTTAATATTATAAGTTATTAAAGCTAAGCTAGATCTACTTAATAAACCTTCTAAACTAATAAAAATATAAAATTTTATAATATTTAGATAAAATAGTTTTAAGAACTAATAAATTTACTATAGAAGAATAAGATAAATCTATTATAAAGCTATTAGTAATCTATATAACCCCTAATAGATTAATTAATAGAAGTTTAAAAGAAAGAATATAAAGTTAACTATAGAGACTTAAGATAATATAGCTAATTAAACTTAGAACTAATATAAATAAAGGTATAATATCTACTTATTTAGTTATATTCTTTTCTCTTTTCTCTTTTTCCTTTATTATATTTTTAGAAAAGTAATAATAAGACTTAAGATTAAATAGATTAATACTTTTAACTACTTAAGATAATAACTTATATTTTTACTACTTTAATTATTAATAATTACTATAGCTAAAGTATAGCTTAAGATAACTAAAGAGATATTATATAAAAATATCCTAACTCCTTATAACCTTACTACTAAGAATAAGCTTATTAGTATATTTAATATTTAAGCTAAGGCGTTTAGAAATATCTAAGATTAAACTAAAGTGATTTTAGCTTCTAAAAATAGTTTACTTAATAGCTCCTTTAGTTTATAGGTTTAATTTACTAATATTAACCTTATAGAGGTTAATTATACTACTAATAATACTTACTTTTATATTAATATTAATAGAGGTAAGGAATAAACCTTTAATATTAATCCTTATTATATCTTAAGTAATAATACTTATAGAGTTTAATAGTAGCTTATAGCTCTTATTAATAATACTTATTATATTTCTATAAACTAATTAATAGGAATTATTAAGTAATTAGTAGAGTTATACCTCTAATAGTTTATACTAATTATAATAAATCCTTTTTAGAATAAAAATACTTTTATATTTATAAGTAATAATATTATAGATTTTATTAAAACTTATAATTTTTAATTTTATAAAGCTTATTAAACTAATAAGGATAAGCTAATAAAGGTTTACCTTTACTATCTTAAAGACTTAAAGTAGAGTATTAAATTATTAGTTAAAGATTTTAATAATTAAGAAGCTACTAAAGCTATTTTTATTAATTAATATAGTATTATAGATAAAAACTTCTATTAAGATCCTAATAAAGAGCTTTAAGTAATTAAAGATAAGCCTCCTTTTTTTAAGATTAATATTATTAGTATTATAGCTTTCTTTAATTATATTAAGGGCTTATATTATAAAGCTATTATAAAAGAACTCTTAGAGTATTAAGATTAAGATCTTATTTACTTTATTTATAAGCACTTACTAAAAGAAGCTATTAAAGCTACTATAAAAGTTCTCTTTTA